GAGCTGAAGAAGCTTCTTGGATGAGAAGTGAAATGACTTCAACGAAAAACCAGAAAGTCCAGTTGCCTCTTGGAAAAGCACTTTTGGGACAATCAGGACCTGGAGGACTGAGAATCTCCATAGACATTTAACCTCAGAAACCTGTTCTCATAGTACAGCCAAGTTGGGTTAACAAACCACAGCTTCTTGGTCTACGTCAGTGGTTCTCAACTTTTTCTTCATTAATTTCTTTAATTTTGTTCATTGGTGAGGTTCACACATTGCCAGAAATCCATACTAGACATGCTTCGTCTTGCAATCTGACCTGCCCTACAGGGTTGTTGTGAGCAGTACCATAGGGTACTGGAGGAGTGTGGGAACCACTCTGGGCTAAATCTGGGCTGGTATCAGTGGATCAACTAAATAAGATTTCTGTTTTTCTCCTTATTGAACTTCAGACGAATGGGGGTTTTTCCCAGCCAGGGTGGGGCAGCCCCTGGTAGAGTCCGTTTTCTTTTGCTTCTAGGAATCACTTTTCTATTTTTGGTTCAATATTGCTGTAATTGGACATTTACAGTATTTTGGCTGGGGCAGGCTTGCTTTTTGAAGGATTTTAAGGATTTTTGAGGAATGCATTTGTAGGGTGCCTCATCCCTGCGGTGTGAGCACTGATGATAATAACACAATGATAAGGTTCTGTTGATGGTAATAATAATGATGATGATCATGATGTGAATGCGGTTTGCTTTTGAGGAAGGCGCATGGCGAGTGGCAGGAGTTGTTTCTGTGCGGGGTTTTTGGAGCGTTAAGTAGAGGCCGGTTTCCAAATTAACAGCCCGTGACAAATTGACCAGTCTGGGGTTTGCCAAAGAGATTGGAATTGTAAACTTAACCAAAGGCCTGAGTTTGGAAAACACGCTTAACCTGGTTTGATGATGTGTGTTGTGTTCACTCAACCAGAGAGTTCAAAACTTTGCAATACTTGACTGGGATAAGAGAAGAGGGGAAAATATATATATATTTAAATGGTGGGGAGAGGAAGCAATCTTCAACTCTGCAGCCTTTCAAAAATATTTGTATATGTGGTTGGTGAGGGGGAGGATTGGGTTGCAGGGAACTCAGACTTCAATTCAGACTTTGCAGGTGCGGGTTTTAATTTGATTGGCTAATTAGAAGCCGAATGTTAATTGGGCTCATTAACCAATGAGCTGCAGCAGACAAGGATTTATAAATAACCCCGCGGTGAGGATCATTTGCATGATGCCGTATGGCTCACCATTGCCATGGAAACTGACCCCCCCCTCCCAGTGTTGAAAGGGGAGTCGGGGTGGGGTGGGGGCTTAGAGCAACAACTACAAACCCCATCATCTCTATCCATCATTAGCTCTGGGTGAGTGGACCTGTAATCCCAAGGCATCTCAAGGAGGCTAAAATGGGAGAAACTGCTTTTGGAGGCTTCGTTTTTTAGGGGCGGCTCTGCTCTTTGGCCTTCCTTCCTTTGCAACTGGCTTTTGCAACCGGCTATGCCATGTTTCTAGTCCCTGGGAGCAGAAAACCAGTTTTTTGGTCTTCCTTTCTGAAGTAAAATAATTGGTTCCAAGCAGCTGAAGATCCCTGTTCACTTCCAGAAAGAACCATATGATCTATTTCTAATGTTGTGGCTGTGGATGATGGGACTTCAAAGACAGCCCAGCTCCAGGTTAAGTGCAGCAGGTGCTGACAGGTGGCTGAAAGCTTTCCAAAAAAGGGAAAATCTCAACCAGAAAAAGAACATTGGGGAAGCAGGAGGGGAATCTTCCCCTCCTCCGTCAATGAGGGGGCACAAAATGAAGGGGAATGGTTTTTTTTGGGGGGGGGATAAACTGGGGGGGCTGCCTTCTCTAACCCCGTCCCCCCTCGCTCCTTGGTGCCTTTTCTCTTGCACCTCTCTCTCTTGTTCCCACTCCCTTGCTATAAATAATCAGGCTCTTGGAAAGTAACAAGATGCAAAGCCCCGCTCCCTTCCTGAGCAGCGGCAGCAGCAGCAGCAGCAGGAGGAGCAGGCGTTGCAGGGAGGGCTGGAAATAAATTGCATCTTTGACAGTCAGTTACAAGGGTAATCATTCCAAAAAAGCCATTTGACGGGGGATGAAATTTGCATCGCATTAGCGCACGGAATGGCATCGGAAGGCCCAGATTCTGCCCGGATGGGACAGGAGGATAGAATTAGAATAGAGCTGGAAGGGACCTTGGAGGTCTTCTAGTCCAGCCCCCTGCTCAAGCAGGAGACCCTATAGCATCTCAGACAAGCGGATGGGAAAGCGGTGCATGAAGCTGGAGAAAGGGGGACAGATCCTTCTCCCACGCTCGGAGAAGCAGATTCCTGGGAGGTGGGGTGGGGAGGAGGGGAGAATTGGGGAATCGATAGATTTTTAGTCCTCATGGCTGAAGAAACATTCTTTCCACTAAACGGGCTATACTTGTTACGATCTCCAAACCCAGAAGAGACAATGTGTTCTCTTTGTCCCCAGGAGCAAAACACAAAAATATACACTCACTCTAAAAAAAACCACGGTTGAATAACTACTTTCGTACAACAGTCCTCACTTGGGCATTGAGTAATTTCTGTATTTACATGACCCAATAAGTCAGACATTCACCAAATGGACCAGGCTGGTATAGGAAGTGAAACTTTCATAAAAAAAGACAGCAGGAGTTAGTCTACTACACAGGTAGTCCTTGATTTATGTCCATAATTGAGCCCAAAATTTCTGCTGCAAAGAACAAGACAGTTGCTATGTGAATTTTGCCCCATTTTACAACCTTTCTTGCCACAGTTGTTAAGCGAATCACTGCAGTTGTTAGCGGTTGTGAACCTGGCTTCCCCATTGACTTTGCCTGTCAGAATTTCACAAAAGGTGGTCACATGACCCCAGGGCATAGCAACCATCATAAATATGAATCAGTTGAATTTTGATCACGTGATAACAGTCATAAGTTACTTTTTTTAGTGCCGTTGTAACTTTGGTGACTAAACAAACTGTTGTAAGTTGAGGACTACCTGCACAGTCCCTTGCGTCAATGAAACTCTAGGAAGTCCTAGGCTTATGTCCACAATTATGACTGGAACTTTGGTTGCTAAGTGATACAGTCGAGCGAGTCACGGCCAATTTTACAACTGTTTTTGCTGAGTCATTAAGCGAATCACTAGCGTTGTTAAACAGATCGGTCTTCTCCTATTGACTGGTTGGGCTGGAAAGGTTGCAGGTGGCCATCATTTGACCCCAGGACACTGCAACCATTGTAAATGCAAGTCAATTGCCAAGTGCCCAAATCATGGACGTGTAGCGGTGGGGTTGCTGCGACAGTCATAAGCGTGAGGACTGATCATAAGTCACTTTTTTTCAGCACCATCATATCTTCAAACAGTCACTAAACAAATGGTCGTAAAAAAAGGACTACCTGTATTAATTACCTAGCCAACCAGATTAAGCGTGTAAGAATGAAGGATTTTGGTCAGCCGAAGAATCTGGCTATGTGGTGGTCTTGCCCAGAGGCTCAGAAATACTGGCTCAAAATTCAAAATTGGCTACAGGAAATCACCAATGAGCAACTAGACCTAGAACCAGAACTCTTCCTACTGGGGATCTTCAAAAAAAATATGTAAGACTTATTATTACACATGCTGACTGCTGCCAGGATCACCTTTGCCCAGTGTTGGAAACAGCCATATACACCTGTAGAGGAACACCTGGTTATACAAAAAGTTATGAATTGTGCTGAAATGGATAAATTAGGCACGATGGTGCCCTTATGCACGCCCCTTACAGACCTCTTAGGAATGGGGTGAGGTCAGTAGTGGATAGTTTAAGGTTAAAGGAGTGGGGGTTAGAGGATGTAACCACAGAGTCAAGTTAGTGCATTCCAGGCGTTGACCGCTTTTGCTGAAGTCGTATTTCCTGCAATCGAGTTTGGAGAGGATTACATTGAGTTTGTATCTGTTGTGTGCTCTTGTATTGTTGCGTTTGAAGCTGAAGTAGACATTGACTGGTAGGATATTGTAGCAGATAATTTTGTGCACTCTGCTTAAGTCCAACCGTAGGTGGCGTAGTTCAAGGTTGTCCAAGCCCAAAATTTCAAGCCCGGAAGTGTAGGGTATTCTATGGCGAGCAGAGGAGGGTAGTCCTCTTCTCGTGAAATACTTCGGGACTCGCTCAATTGCATTAATGTCCGATACACAATGCAGATTAATATTTATTTAAATATTTATATTTATATAATATAAATATTTGTACGGAGCCAGGGAAGAGGACACCAACTCTTCAAATTTGTCCTTCTTTTCTCTGGCCTCATCCACATGCAATGGGCAAGAACTCTTGCCAGAGACAGCCAGCAGGATGGGAGTTGTAGTTGAGCCGCTTCTGGAAAATCTTTCCTAGCGATGGGGACCTGGGTGACCAATGAACCTAGATCCAGTTGAGGCTGAAGGGCATTCCTGTCTGCCCCCCCACCCCAAAGACAAGGTTGATTGTTATAAACAAACTGATTAACAGATAGAAGCATAATGTCCAGTTTTCTCTCTCCTTCCCTTTCACAAACCGTCTTTTCTTTCTTTTTCATTCTCTTCCCAGATCTGGGCATCCGATGATGCGCATTCCAGGCTGAGCTCCCAGCACACCTGGGGGGCTTTCCCTCCAGTGGACCTTGAGGAGTGACTGGCGGCAGGGACCAGCAACCTTCTCCTTTGGTGGGGGGAGGGCTGAAACTCTGCCTAGCTTGCCCCAGCCGGCTGTGGAGGAAGATGCTGTATGCCATTCTGTGAGAGCCACCTTCCCTCCTGGGAGGGGGACCCACCCAAAGGACTTCCTGGCCCTCCTCTACGCAAGGAGAATCTCCTCCCTTCCTCCTGCAGCCTCGCGGGCTCTTTTGTCTAAGGAGCAACCCTTGGACCGGCCTTCCTCCCGCGGGATTTTGCTCTCCTCCCGTCTCATGAGGATTTGAGGGCCTCCCCAAGGGGCCCCCCGGTTGACAGTGGGCCTGCCATGGCGAAGTCGGTTTGTTTGCTGGTGCCTCTGGCATTGCTGGTGGGCTTGGTCCTGGGCCCTGGAGCCGGGGGAGCAGCTTTGGAGTTTGGGGGCACGCCGGGGCAGTGGGCTCGCTACGCCCGGTGGGATGCCAGTTCCTCTGGGGAGCTGAGCTTCAGCATCAAGACCAACGTGTCTCGCGCTCTGGTCTTGTACCTAGACGACGGGGGCAACTGTGACTTCCTGGAACTCTTGATCTTGGAGGGCCGTTTCCGTTTGCGCTTCACTATCTCCTGCGCGGAGCCGGCTAGCCTGCACTTGGAGACCCCCATCAACGACGACCGCTGGCACATGGTGCTCTTGACCCGCAACTACCGGGAGACCATGCTGGTGGTGGACGGCGAAGCCCGGGTGGCCGAAGTCAAGTCGAAGCGGCGGGACATGGCGGTGGATAGCGATCTCTTTGTGGGCGGCATCCCGCCAGACGTCCGCTTGTCGGCTCTGACGCTCAGCACGGTCAAGTATGAGATGCCCTTTCGCGGGATGGTGGCCAATCTCAAAGTGGGAGACATGCCCCCCGCCCTCCTGGGTAGCCAGGGCATCCGCAGCGACATGGAATACCTGTGTGCCAAGCAGAATCCCTGCGTCAACGGTGGGATTTGTACTGTGGTCAACAGCGAAGTGCAGTGTGATTGCCGCCTCACTGGCTTCCAGGGCAAGTTTTGCAGCGAAGGTAAGAAGCCCAGCGGAGACGTCCCCCCCTTCCAACGCCCCAGAAGCAAAAAAAATTGGGGGGGCTCCCCCTTGGTGGGAGCTGCTCAAAAGGAGTAGGTGGGCTTAATAGGTTGGTATGTCGTGGGACCCCAGCCTATCTTGCTATTCTGGGCCAAGCAGTTGCCACAATCAGCTGTTCCCTGTTGGGGTATCAGATGTGGTTTTATCACAGCTAGATGTGGGGTTGAAGTTAGGTGGGATCCCCATGTTGTATGAACCCAACCACTGAAAGATTGCTCTGTTTAAATGTCTATGGCAGAGGTTCCCAACGGGGGGTGCGAGACAATATTCCAGGGGGTGTGAAAAGATGGGTTTAGAAGTTTCAAAATTATGGTGTATATGCATAATTATATGCATATAATTATTTACTTTTGTAAAGGGTGCGAGAATATATCAGAAGCGTTCTAAGGGTGTGGGGTACAGAAAAGTCTGGAACCCCCCTGGTCCATGGAGATTCTCAGTCCTCCAGGTCCTGGTTGTCTCAAAGGTGCTTTTTTTTTTCAGGAGGCAACTGGACTTTCTGGTTTTTCTTTGAAGACGTTTCGCTTCTCATCCAAGAAGCTTCTTCAGCTCTGACTTGGATTGTGACAAAGGGAATGAGTAGAATGGAACCATCCAGTCAGAGCTGAAGAAGCTTCTTGAATGAGAAGTGAAATGTCTTCAAAGAAAAACCAGAAAGTCCAGTTGAAAAAAGCACGTTTGGGGTAGCCCTGTCTATCTATTCTGTTTTGTTTTTATTTATCTCCACTGGGTTGTAAGCAAAGCCTCAAAGCCTCCCTCCCTTTTCCTGGCACATTGGAAAGGATGCCACGTAACCGAGAGAGGTTGTAATAATCACACCCCTGGCTTGGGATTGGAAGCAGCTCGGACCCCATTTCCTTATACCTTCCCCAGCTTCTCACCCATCCACGTTCTCTAACCGGTGAAAAAAGGCCCACTTTCTCCATGCTGGGAATGGTTCCAGTGGCGTACAGGTATGCTCCTGATGTTGCAGCGAAGTGGTGATGTCATCACTTTGCTTCCAGCGGCAGCAGTGAAAATCTCCGCTTCAGTTTTCATCCCTTGGATGGAACGGCAGATGCCAGTCCAACTGTAGCTCTCGACGTCTTTCGAATTGGGTTTAATCGTCTGAAAAATGTGTTGCAAAAAACCCCTGTTGCTTATGCTTGCTCGCTTCAAACCTGCAGAGTCTTTCTCTCACATTGACTCACTGAGTCACAGTGCCTCTCAGGTCTATTTCTCTCCTCCTGTTCCTGAAATGCCCACAGTTTTTCCTTGGGTCTCTTTCTGTGCTTTTCCTTCCAAGGTTCTAGTCCTCATAGTTTTCGCCTTCTTTTGACAATCTCGCACCAAGAGCAATCACCCTTTGAAAGAGAAACAGCCTAATCTTTCTGAAAGAAAGAGTCACAAAGACTCCTTGTCTGGAGGTGATCCCAACCTAATATTTATTTCCCATGGTGCCCCTGACTTTTCCCCATTTCAGGGGGATTGTGAGACACTGCAATAGTGCCTGGATCAAAAAATATGATACTGTGGATGGTGTTTTCAAGGACACTGCGAGTGCTGCGTAGAAGGGCTGTGTGCGTGTTTGTGTGTTTGTGTAGTATTGCATCCAGTTTGGGTCACCACGATATAAGAAAGAGACTCTAGAACAGGGGTGTCAAACTCAATTTCAATGAGAGCCACATCAGGGTTATATTCGGCCTCGGGGGGGCTGGGGTGGGCCTGGCCAGGGTACGCGTGGCCAGCTCGATGACACTCGTGTTGGGGGCACCAATGGTGGCCAAGTGCTAAGGCAGGGTTTCCCTCAGACCCTCCCTCACTCTCATTATAACCTCCTTCCTTCCTCCCTCCCTCCCTTCTCTTCTTTTTTCTTCCCTCTTCATTCTCCTTTCTTCTTCCTTCCCCTCTTTCCTTATTTTTTTCCTCCCTTGCTCTCTTCCCATCTTCCCTTCTTTTTCTTTCCCTTTCTCCTTTCCTGTCCCTTCTTGCATGCTCATTTCTCCTTTGGTTTTGTTTTTTCCATTTGTTTTGCTAGCCCTCTGCCAGCAAAAACAGCTTGAGAGAGCCACGGCCCTCCCAAGCTCTGTTTTCGCTGGCAGAAGCACCGCAGGCCAGTCCTTTGCAGTTTCCAGGCCAGCTTCATGGGCCGCATCTAAGCACCCTGCCGGCTGGATTTGGCCCATGGGCCTTGAGTTTGACACTCCTGCTCTGGAAAGAGTGCAGAGAAGAGAAGAATGCAGTCGTTGACTTCATAACTCTGCACTTTTTGCCTTGATTTTCATGGTGATGTGTCCTATTTTTCAGCCCCCATCAAACCTTCATCAAAATATGTGAAATCTGTTTGAGGGTCATAAAACGAGGCTGAAAAGAGAGCTTCCTGGTTACAAGTGGTGATCCTGGAGAAACAAGGTCAGCTTCAAGCCAGTGCCTCAGGGTTCCCCAAACACAGGCCTCTGGGTCTAAGACACTATTTTTAATTTCCCACAATCCCTTTGGTATAATGTGCCTCCAGGGCATTGTGGGAAATTACCATGGTCAGGAAGCCTGGCTATTCAGAACTGCTCGAGGGCATCCTTGCTGCCTGACATGTCCCTGAGCATCACTCAGCTGATGGAAGAAGGACCCAGCAGACCTGATTCCTACATATCCGGATCCAGTTTTTCTCATTTGCTGGATCCTCCCATTATTTATTCAGAGCTCTTTTACAAAAGCGGCTTGAAAGGTTTAAGTCAGAAAAAAAAATGTTGCAGTGGATGATAAGGTTCACAGATTGCACTGACTTTGTTTGTAGAAAAAGCCCAGTTGATCAGAGTTATGGGCAGAAATCAGGCTTTGGAAACCATAGTTTACAAATGTCCCTTGGGAATCTATGATTAGATGGACGTTCTTCTCTCACCATCTTGCTTTCGCTTATTTTTTAAATTTCTTTAACAGTTGGGTCATTATTTTAATTGTTGGTTGTACACCTCCTAGAGTCAAATTCAGTGAAAAGGTCAGCCATATAAATTTGTTTAATAAATAATGATGGCCGTGGTCATGGAAGTAAATTAAGCAACTCATGATGACTTAGCACAATATGTAAATCATGGTTCATATAGCATTCTACATTTGGACTCCAAATTATTAATTATTTGGAGGTTCCAAATACTTTGCATTTTTGTAATATGCATTGGTGTAGCTCCCATCCTTGACTGCTCTCAGGACTGGGGGGTTAGACTGGATGTTGAGCCTTTGTTTATTTTTGCTGGTTTGGAGTACATTTAATTTTTTAATTGTTTGGTTTTCATTCCCCCCACCCACGCTCAAAGTCTTTTGGGAATTGGAGGGTCTCTAAATCAGGGGTCTCCAACCTTGTCAGCTATAAGACTTGTGGAAGTCAACTTGCAGAATTCCTCAGCCAGCAAAGCTGGAGTTGAGGTCCACAAGTCTTAAAGTTACAAGGTTGGAGACTCCTGTTCTAAATTGAATAAATAAAAATAAATAAAATGCAGGACCCCAACAAAAGAAAACCCTCACACAGTATTTTGGTTTAATGTGACAGCAAGACATCATGCTAAACCAACAACCTACCCAAAAGTTTTAGCTTATTTCAACGTGTTGAATAAACCCGGCTAAAGTCTATCACACCTTGCTTCCCTCCGAATGGTTTGTAATTGCAGCCCCAGAATCTCTGTTCTAGTTCGTCCTGGACTTAGCACTTTCATTCCCTCTGCAGAGCGCAGTTTTTCAACGGCGGGCAGGGGGATTGGCCTATTTAAATTAAAATGTAACTTGATTGAATTTTAAACTTAAATGAAAATGGTGTTAATTAAATACAGTTAAGATGAGGTAGCGGCTGCATTTTCCCCATGTGCTCTGCTTGGGGAGTGCTAACCTTGGTTAAGCTTTTTAGCATAGTAGTGTGTCAACCCAGTTCATTTGGTTAGATGATGATTTACTGGACTGTGCAACCTTAGGAGAGGAGTTAATTCGGGGACCAAGTTCTCAGAAGCTCTTTCCATAGACGTGAAGCTTAGACTTCTTGATTCCTGCTGGCTCTTCTCCCATCAATCTATCGGTATAACACACACGCCTTGAGCCCTTCTGACCCAACTTGTCTTCTGTCTTCTCTCTTCCTTGGAGCTGCTGGCAGCAATGTTGGAAACTCCACAGCAATGAGACACTCTCCGTTTACATAACTCCTCTGCAAGCATTCCCTTCGTCTCGCACCAGACGCCAAATTGTGCCCATTGACGTCAAGAGCCCACACACATACATAACACAACCCTTAGGCTAGGGTCCATTCGCAGGCTACCTGTTGTGTGGGGAGAGGGAGAGGGAGGCTGGCCTACAGACGGCTGGGCCAACTGGCCGAGCCAGTGGCTGGGGAAGGGGGCTTGGTGACGATGCCGCTCTTGCGGCAGCGCTGCAACTTTGGCCGTCTGACTTCTTGGCGGCTGGAATGATTGACAGCTGGGCGACTGTTGCCTGGGCTTGTTGCTGTGGAAACACCAGCCTGTCTGGCTGATGGATTTAGAATAGGATGCATGACGACATAGGAGGAAGGGGGCATTTTGGGCAACAGGCATAAGGTTTCATAGCAATAGCTCTTAGACTTATATCCCGCTTCACGGTGCTTTACAGCCCCTCTCTAAGCGGTTTACAACGTCAGCCTCTTGCTCCCAACAATCTGGGTCTCATTTTAATGACCTCAGAAGGACAGAAGGCTGAGTCAATCTTAACCCCTGAGGAGAAGGATGTCCAGTTTTGTTTTGTTTTTTTGGATGGCTGTGGAGAAAACATTGCTGGCGCTGTCTGCATCAGTGGTTCATTTTTGGAATAATGGAGACACGTGTGAAATCTACCTGCAAGTTTAACTTTGGTTTCTTTAAATGTCCCAAGACTCTGTTTCACAATCACTCATGGTATCATTGTAATGACCATTGCTGTTTTACATGTGTGTTAAACCTTTTTTAG